AGGAAACACTCTTCTTGCGAAAGGAAGTCCGCCGGTTTAATGTGAGTATCACTATTTCAATGACTTGTTTGGGATTTGGGTTGTTAACTGCTCCTTAAGTTTTTTCCTACTTCCCAAATGAATTTTATTGTTTTTCTAAACATTAGGTTCTACATAAAACGAGTGAAATTTTAATATCTTATGGGCAAATAATGATGTAATTTTCATTTTTTTTTAAAGATTTTTCAAAGGAGTGTAGTTGTTTAATTTAGATATGATTTTCTTTCAAAAAAGCATAAAAATTTGGAAAAAAAACTATTTTTTGCTCATAAGATATCAAAATTTTACTCATTTTATGTGGGATCTAATGATAAAAAGAAATAAGAAAAAAAATTTGAAAAGTAGAAAATAAATTGATGGCAAGTAAAAAGGACAGCTAACATGGTAAGTTGATATATTTATGTATGGTGACGCAGTTTGTGAATAAGTTAGCCCCTCGTGGTTTGTCAAAGAAATACGATAAGAAAATGGAGACCCCTAAAGACATATTCAGAAAGAGTCACAGGGAACTTAAGAAAAAACAGGGAGAGCGGGTGGCTAAAACCTCACAAGCATGTTGGTGGCCTTCGCCGCACGTACCAACGTACCAGGGCGGTTATGATGAGAAGGGCTATGCAATCCTTAGAAACAAGCCACAAGCATTCAAAATTTTTAAAGATTCTTCATTGGTGGCCCTCTTCTGCCCTCTCATTTCCACCATCTGCTTCTTGTCTATAGTTGCTTCTCCTTCTCATCAATATTTTTATGGTCGTACGTTCGTTCCTTCCCGATTTTACCGTGCCTTGTACTTCATGTTCACGTCCATTGTTTGTTTGTGGATCTCTTTCCGTGCCGATGATTTCTTCTTGCTCCATGACAACACTCAAAAATTGCACAAGGCTCTTCTAACTTATATTTTGTTGTCATCGGTTTTATTCTTATATTAGATGGCACATGTGAAGCCAGTTTCATATTTTTACTATGGAGGTGACTTCTTGAGTTTTAAAAGGAGACAAGAATAATGAGCTTAATACTATATTTTAAGTTAACTATATGTTATGAATTTTAGAATTTAGCCTAAAATTCTGCAAAATACCATATGACTCGCTAGAACCGGTTTCAGTGCTTATCGATGATGCTCATTGCTACAGTGAAATCTAAATCATTCAGATACAGTTTTAATAATCTGGATTTAAAATTTTTAATTAGTACTTTTAAATAAAAAAATATTTTTTAAAAAAACTTACATATAAAAGATTGCATTTATTTTAGATTTTGTACATATTAAAGGAAATTTTTTTTAAAAAGATTAAATCTCGGCAGTTTGTATTAAATTTGAATAGCTCAGATTTGATAAGCACGACCTTGCTCATCAATTCAATAAGCATTGAAACTGCTTTCATGAATCGCTTTAGTGAACAAAAAAAGAAGGCAACAATCCCAAAGAAATACAAATCTGCCACATAGAAAACCCCACAAAGTGTGATCAATGAAACCCTTGAATCCAAATGGCCAAGGAGAAACAAACGAAGAAAGACCCAACTAATAAACATTAATAACCGAGAGATATTAGAGAAACAACGCAGAAAAGGATAACAGAGAACCGAAACCGGTAAAAGTAATGAGAGAACAAGGCAGCTGTTGGGGCAAATTTTGAGGGCAACCCTCTCCGAATAAATGAAAGAAAAGGGGGCGTGAAGGATAGAGGAAAAGGCATATCAGCGGAGCATAAGTGAGTTTTAGCCCTCAAATCCTATGGTCTATACCATTACCTTACAAATAATAGAGCCAACTAGCATCCTTCAAGAGTTTAGAAGGTCCTCTTCACTTATCTCCTTAGCCTTCGATTGAGATAATTAAAACAGGGAACCTCCCCCTCCGGGACAATTCGGATATACTTTGGGAGTTATTCTTTCAGAAGAAGAAAACGGCGGAGGAGACAATTTGCAGTACTTGGATCCTTCTTAATCATCAAGATTGTCTCATTCGATTCACTCCGAAGCAAGCATACAAAAGCTCTGCTCATTTCATACTTAAATGTATCAGAGCTTCTCTGAATGGCGCTACTTTTAGTGCTGTAATGAACCTTCCTCGTCTTCATATATATTTGATCATTGTACCAAAAACAAAAAAAGTAGCGCATAAATGGGGGATTTTGGGATTTGTCTATTAATGGGCTTTTCTTCTCTCTCATTCCATTGTAGAGAGACAGAGAGAGAGAAGGAAGAACGGGTGGGTGAGATATTTGGTCTGCTCCTTTCGGGGCTCTCTATCACTATGATTGTTCCTATTCATAGGTTCCACTCCAACAACAAACCCAGAAACATTCTTTCCTCCAGGTCTCTCTTAAGCAATTCCTGCAATATTAGCCCATGTTGATTCGTATGTGCGCTTGCTGAGAGGAGCCAAAAGACGCAGAAACAGGAATAATCATAGTTAAAGCTAACGGAATTTTTTAACACCCATGTCTCTATTTAACTGTTTTAAAAACACAGCAGAAACTCAAATAACCCAGTAAAAAGAAGGAAAATTTTCTAGAAAAAGAATTCTGAAATTAATATTTTCCAAGCATGCAAAGAAGGAAATAAACATAAATTGAAATTTTGAAATTAAAAAAAATAATAAAAATGTCCTTTTTAATAGAGCCAATCCTAATATGTTGATATTTGAATCTTGGTTCGTTTTTGTCCTTGCGATATTCGGCCCAATTAAGATGCCACATGCCCCATATTTTTGTTAGCAACTGGGGAAAAAAAATACAAGTTAATGCGATTTCTGGCCATTTGTTCAAGAGCTATAACAATTGCCCAATAAATTTTCCGTCAATATGTCGCACATTAAACTAATACGCCCTTGTTTATAGAAAAGCAAATTGACTAAAAAAAAAGAATAATTGGTTACATTTGACAGGAAGTATTGAAAATGAGAGATTGGGATTGGAATTACAATTCAGAAAATCTATTAAAAGAGTGTTTAGTATAAGAGATTGCTTGTTATATGGGATTAGTCAAACCCATATATGTGGGATTGAAGAATACCATGGGAGGAAGTGGTATTCTCTAGTCCTGCCTCTATGGGTTTGTCTAATCCTATATAACAAGCAATTACTCATGCTAAATACTATTTTAATAATTTTTTTGAATTGCAATTCCAATCCTAATCTCTCATTTTCAATGCTTCGTACCAAACAGGACTTGATTCCATGCTCATCTCTATTATAACCAACTTTCCTATCAAATAATAATATTTCAACTTTTTTCACTCCATCACTATTTACTTAAATATAGTGATATAGTGATTTATAATTATATTTAGAAAAATAATATATGTAAGGTGTGGATGGTGTCAATATAGCTGTAGAAATTCATTGAAGCTGCCATAACCCACTGGACACAAATCTAAGCAAAAATCGTGCCATGTTGCGGGGAAAAAAAATGAAGAAAGCTATAGCAAAAGCATACAAGGTTTATTGGAAAATAGCTCTTTATTCTGATTGTTTAGAAGCTATTAACCTTATAACCCGAGGATATGATGAGCTACACCCTTTTAAGGACATCATTTAGGACACCTTGATTATATTTACGCAGAAAAAATTCTTCCCACTTCATTGCTTGCAATCCTAAGTTTAGTTTTTCAGATATTACTTGATTACTTGATTCATCGATATTCTAATTGAAAATCAGATTATGTTAATGAAGCCTTCTTGTGCATGTGGGAATCAAGTTAAAACTTTCTTCGGTTTCGTCATATGGTATTATTATTTTTAATAGTCATATGGTACTATAATATCCGAGGGAAATGGCTGAAATTATGAAAACTTTAAAACTGTTATGTCACAACTTTATCGGACCACTTATAACATTCAAAAAATTCCACAAAGACTCGTACATTCATACTCTTCAACCAAAACAAACAGTAAAAAGAACCAGACAAATCTGAAAAATGTTGGTGCTTTAATTCGGAACCTCCTAGTTTGAAAAGGACTTGGTAACATTAGAACATGAGAAATGACTGTTAACATTAACAAAACCAAATATACTCTAACCCAATATATATATATATATATATATATATATATATAGAGAATGCTCAAACCACAAAACCACCGTGGCCAACAAATTGTTCAAAAAAAAAAAGAGAAATAGACATATTCCCTTTTTGTTGCTTTTCAAATGCAGCCCATGGTGGAATACATCCCTTGTCTGCCAGAGCATAGTTCATTAAAGCAACACTGTCATGAGCATGAGAAATTGCTTAAATACACAACCAATGATTGTTCAAATACACAGCTGACACTGCTTCTAGATTCACTATTTTTGGGTAAGATAAGACAAATAAGGAAGGAAACAAATGCAAGAGAAGAATGATAGTACGGGGAGCCAAGAACAACAGAGACAGTGAAGTGGAGTTCATTGAAAGCTAAAGAGGAAGTAAGGAGTGAGGAGGCTAAAGAGGTTAGAGGCGGGACGCAAATATGTGGATTCGAAATGGAGAATAAGCCCAACACAATGTTCACTTCACATGAAAGCAATCCTACATGTATGGCTTGGTTTAATGTGAAACCAGCTCGTGAAAAGTGAATTGTGTCTGTCATAAGCCGTGGAAGAATATGCCTTTGTGGAAGAGGTATTATTATTGTTGACGATGACGATAATGTTGAATATTGAATCGAATATTGATATTGATGATAATGATATTGAGTAAACAATTCCAATTGTTAGGCCCAGGCAAAGCAGCGGTTCTTTCTCAGTTCAAGTTATTCCATCTACCTTTCTTCTTCGTTTACTCTGTTCTTCAATTCTCGATTCCCCTGCAGTACTGTTAGTGTTAGACTGGAAGAGAAAGTGATATTCATTTCTTTATGCACATCACATATTCGACACAATGACGCACTCGAAAGAAAAGCATAAGATAGGATCATCCTTCTCGATGGCGCCAGTCGATAGAGCTAATATTGATTGTATTTTTCTTTTCCCTCCCCTTTCGTTCGTTGAATCATCATGTGCTGTTCTTTTCCTGTTTCGTTTTCATATCTCTCACAATTTTTTGCCACATCACCGGGGATTCAATTGCATTTTTAAGTAGGCGCTTGACTGAAATGTAATTTATGCAAGCATAGCATGCGATGGAAACTTTCTGCTCAGTAAATTAAGTTGGGTTGCAGCGATGTACGTAGGGTGACACGGTAAGATCTTTTCGACCACAATAAATGTAGAATAGGATCGAAGTTTTTCTTCAATTATCAATTATATAATCATTTAAAGTCTAAGGGCAATTGCTCGTGCTGTGCAATAAGGGTCTTCTGACATATGCAGTTGAGGCGCTCGAAACAATGACGCACTCAAGACTATACAAAGGCATCATTTAAAAAGCGTAATTATTATTTTATGTTCCATTTTTAAAATGAAAATATAAAAATAATATAATAATAGAATCAATCCCATATATCCCTGGCAATCAATCCAAGTTATTCCATTTCTACGTGAGGCAAAACTTGTCCATGAATGACCCTACTTCTCTTTTTAAGATTCGGAATTACTTGTGTCTTGTATATACATATAACAACCCCTTCAATTAATTTGTCCATCGAAGTCAATCGTGCCAGACAATGACTTCGTTGGAGAAACTGCGCAGTGATGCCATGAGAGGAAAGTGGTCAGAAGCATTTGAAACGTTCAAGAAAGAAAGGGACCTACGCATAGCCGAGATAACGATTGCAGGAGACACAGTGTTACATATGGTTGTGTCTAATGGCGAAGAGAAAGTGGTGGCAGACATGGTTGACCTCTTAGTTCAAGAAGATGACGAGGAGAGTGTGAACAAGCACGCCGTTCTTGGGGCTGGGAATAAGAGAAAGAACACTCCCTTACACATAGCAGCCTCAATGGGAAAAGTTGAAATGTGTAAGAAGATAGGTCGCGAAAATCCCTTCTTACTTGGTAGCCGCAACATTGCTGGCGAGACTCCGCTCTTCCTAGCAGCTCTCAATGGCAAGAAAAAAACTTTTCTTTGGCTTCATTATCTATATGTGCATCGCTTTGGAGATTCTTCCGCCAACGTTGCCCACTGTATAAGGGACAATAAAGATACTATTCTTCATTGTGCAGTTGCAGAAGGACACTTTGGTAAATCGAAACTAATACTCATCTATTTTGCCTGTTTTGTTGCCGTTTTAATGTGCTATTTTGAATGGCTTTGCTTTATGATTTCGCAGATGTGGCCGTTGAAATAATTTACCTTTATAAAGATCTCGTGAAAGCCACGAGGTTCAACCACGAAGGATTGTCTCCACTTCATCTCCTAGCAGCAATGCCTTCAGCTTTCAAAAGTTCTAGCCTCTTTCATCGACCATTCATTGAATATCTCATTTACCATTGTAAGTATTGTCTATGGAAGGCAAATGCATTGTGCGCGCGCGCGCTCGCGCGCGTTAGATTAGATTTCATGCTTGGCATTCTTGAGAAGTACGTGTTTCTTTATATTGAACACCACACACACACACACATATAAATTCTATGGTCATCATCCTTTCCCCGTTTATTTATTGTTTTTTTTCGAACTCGAAAGTGCTGCCAATCAGGGAGAAGAAGGAAGCTACGAAGCGTCCCGATTTGGAAGAAGAGCAGAAATCATCGAAAGTCAGTGATGCTATCTTCAAGCTTATTGATGGTAAGCACGTTTTACAGGCTGATGCTCGTTTTTACTTTGTGCCATGTGCCGGCATCCATGTTGTCTGAGTCAACATAGAAAAAGTTATATTCCTCGTATTTTTAATATAAGACCTAATTAATTAATTTGAATAGATGAAAGATGCTAGTTAAATTAGTAATATGATTTTTTTTTAAATACCCTAAGCATCTTTTTCGATTCCCTCCTCCCTCTTCTACTTGATCATTGTTAAGGGAACATCAATAGAATTAATTTGGAAAAAAATTGGTAAATATGTAAAATAAGTCTTATATATAGGACTAATATCAGCTTCCCAATTAGGTCCTATATTAAGGATCAGAAAAGTATTAAAGAATTTCAGAGGGTGAGTGTCTATAAGGTTCATCAGGAACTAATTAATAACTTTTCTTTGACAGCCATATGTTCATGTGGTCACGCAACCTGGTCTGAGAAGGTATTCGATAGCATAACACTAGGCCTGCATCACCTGCTGGAAATTCTTGAACGAGGTACGTACATATATAGCCCATGTCAATCTTAAATGTTTACTTTATTTAATTAAAATGTCATGCACACACACGGAGAAAATATGTATTAATTGATTAATTCGAAATAATCAGTGATATATGATCTGACTCTATATATACACACACACAACTTCCCAGGTGGATGGAGAAAATTAAATGGGATTCGAAAAAAGAAGGAGACGCATAAATTGTCCGTCCAAATAATGATTGCACTTCTTGAGGATGCTTACAAGTCAGCGACTGGAACTCCACTTGGAAAGACTCCAACTTTCACTGGTAAAAATCTCGTCTAGTAAATTACATGAATCTCTCATAAGTTTTGTTGAAATTAATCACATTTTTTTCCCTTTACCTGTAACTCATATATATGCAGACTTTTCCAAGCAATAAAAAAGTAAATTATACAAATTATTTTAGATCATGCAAACTGCTTTTTCTCTACTTCCAGAACTTATGCGAAGTTCTTTGAGGAACCCAACAAAAAATTACACGTTTTTCATGAATATTTTGCAACTATGCACGCAGAAGTATCCTCTCCATTTTGATGCATGTTTTTGGTATAAATTAATAAAGTAAATATTTATATAATTTTTAGTACAATATAATGTAGCATTTGTTGTTTAATTTTTGTTTGAAACGACATTTGTTTATTTTGTTTAAAAAAGCATGTGCGATTTTAGCATTTATGAAAGATAAGACCTATACAGTTCCACTGAAAGTCTATTAGTCAACTTCAGAGAAATTTTATGTTTGGCACGCTCAACTTGTTCGTGTCTTTAACAACCCCCCCGCCGGCCCAAAATATTAAAAAAAAAAAAAACCAAAAGCGCGCGCGCGCACACAGAGGTTAATATTCACCAATCTATCATCAACAATTAATAAAGTACTAGTATTAGATATTTATTAAAAAAAATCAAGTCTGAGCTATATTTAACATAGATTTCTTAATTCACTTGCAATAATTAATCTACCATTTTGAGTGATTCAATAGAGTCGAGGCCGATGGTGAAAAATGGTCAAGAGAAGATAGAGTCGGGGCCAATGGGGGAAAATGGCCAAAAGAAAATTGAGACGCCGCTAATGATTGCTGCGAAAAATGGTGTCAAAGAAATGGTGGAGAAAATTCTGGAATTATTTCCATCTACTATTGAGGATGTGAATCATGAAGAAAAAAACATCGTCTTATTAGCAGCAGAAAATAGACAGACCAAGGTATATCAGTTTCTGTGTGAAAAGAAAATCCTTAACGAAAATCTCTTTCGGCAAGGGGATAAAGAGGGCAACAGTGCATTGCATTTGGCAGCCAGGCTTGGAGACGAGCCTTGGCTCATTCCTGGAGAAGCACTTCAGATGCAATGGGAGATCAAGTGGTTTAATGTGCGTACAGTTTTTACTGTTTTTTTCCCCCTTTCCAATCGTTTTGTTAATATGAATGTTATCGGGTTAAGATGCAAATTTTTCCCTTTTTTTTTTTTAAATTCAAAGTTGCCCCTAAAGTTTCAAAACATAGCAGTGTTTCTTCTTATTATTAAAAATATTAATACTCAATGTTAATATTTTAACAGTTAAGGTTATTTTTTTAATGGGATGGGATAATATTGCTATGTTTTGAAAGATTCATGACGTCATTGAACCCCAAAAAAAACCTTTCGAGGCAACATTGGTCTTGATTCAAAACTTCTGAAGCAAATCTGCACATTAGCCCAATATTGTTTTGTTAAATGCTGGATGAACATGTTATGCATGTTATTGGTGATGCAGTTTGTGAAGGATTCAGCACCCGCTGATGTGTTCGCGGGATACAACAAGAAGTTTGAAACCCCAGATGATATCTTCAGGGAAACTCACAAGAATCTAGTGACAAGCGGCGGAAAGTGGCTGAGTAAAACCTCACAGGCATGTTCTGTGGTGTCGACGCTGATTGCCACAGTGGCCTTTTCCACGAACTCCAACGTGCCGCCGGTATTCCTTGAACCAACCAATGAAAACAGAACAGGATACAAATGGTTTTCTTCCTCATCATTGGTGGCCCTTTGCTTCTCCCTCATCTCCACCTTCCTCTTCCTCTCTATTCTCACCTCTCGTTATCAGCCTATCGACTTCCACATGGAACTTCCAAGGAGGCTTATCTTTGGCATGACCTCCTTGTTCTTGGCCATTGCCAACATTTGGCTCTCTTTCTGTGTTTGCCATGCCTTCTTGCTTGAGCAACACATCCATAGAAGTTATCCTATTGTTTATATCATATCTTCTTTGGTTGTCACCGCTTTTGTTTTGGAACAGTTCCCTTTATACTTTGATCTTATCACTGCCAACTTTACCAGGGTTCCATCCCCCAGCCACAAGGCTACCCCTGCCATTGAGTACCGAGTCTCCAAGAAAAAGGAAGAAAAGTTCCCTGCCATTGAGTACGAAGCCTCCAAGAAAAAGGAAGAAAATAAAGGTGCCACGGATTGAAACTTGCTGTTCAAACAAGACCCATCATCATCACCCTTTGTTTTTAGAACATTTTCTGTGATTAATTTGATATTAAGACCATTTCACTTGAAAGTTCAAATGGTAGTAGATAACTTTCACAAGAACCGAACAGCTTGAAAAAATGACTAGTCATAGGTTTTATAGTCACAGATTTCTTCAAGAATTAAGAGAGCCCAAGAGCTATATTATTCCAGAACAAGAGCTTAAAAATTAGTAAAATGCGTCCAATTTGCAAAGTAACATACCGGTTTCCTGGTCCCGATTTGTTTCCCTTGGAGAAGACATTTTAAGTTTTTCAACTCATAGATTACATTAATTGGAGAACTATATAACATGAGAAATAAGTTTTCCTAGTGTGTGTAAAATCTGGATCCAATAGTGAGAACTGATGAGGCAGTTTTTAAGGTTAAATATTTCTAGGATAAGTTATAAATTTTTTAAGGTACCCAAAATTCTGAAGAACACCAGGTTGAAGTGAATGCAATTAATGAGCTTCAACTTGTAAGATTTTTGAATATATAACTGTACTTAATAGAACCTAATTAAGATATAGCTTCTGGTTCTGAATAAGGATTATTCTAAATAGGATGTGGCATTCTTGGGCATTAAACTAAAGCCTAGAGACTGATTTCATAATTGGACATACAAAAGCATAGGTGCCAAATTAATGTTCAGTTTTAAATTTGTTGGCAAATTAAAATATTGCTTAACTTTTCCCTATATTTAATACACCGTAACTTTGTATATAAACTTATAAAAGACCGTTACTGACCATTCAGTAAAGAAAGAACGATGACTCAGGAAGTCTTAGAAACTGGATGACATTTCTTCTTTTTTGTTGTTTTGCGTTTTGTAGTTTCACGCTTTTTGTTGTTGAACTGGTTGTGCATCTTTTGCGTTAATTTGTTTGTTTCTTGTAGGGGAAAAAGAAAGAAAGAACCAACGATGGCCCGAAAAAAGTAAGAAGTAATAACTTTAAAACAGAATTGCAAAATAACTTTAAGAGTTAACACCGACTTTAGTCTTTGAAATTTGAAATCAATTTTTGTCTCTGAAGTTTGAAACAAGTGGCTTTAACCCTTGAAATTCAACTTCACTTTGATTTGGACCATTGCTTTTAGGGACCATAAATCTTAAAATAGACCAAAATGAAGTCAAATCTTAATGACCAAAATTATTAGTTTTAAAATTTCCAGGACTCAAACCAAAATAAGATCAAATTTAAGGAGTCAAAGCCAGTGATTTTAAATTTTAGAGACTAAAACTAAAATAAGATCAAATATCAGAAACCAAAATCACTGGTTTCAAATTTTAACAGGTAAAACCAAAATAATATCAAACTTTAGGGACTAATAATGAAACTAACCTTTTTAAAAATGGAAAATAATCTCCCTAAGTGAACTAACAAGATTAGCTAGATTCCAGGAAAAGGGCTGGCCAGTTGGCCCAAAAACAAAGAAAGAAAAAGGAAAAGTGCTGGCCAATTTTTTCTCTTTTAAAACATTATTTATCAACTTTTTAGTATTTGGAAATATAGTGAATGATAAACCTTTCAAGAAACGCACAAATGCTCATGGTATTACTAACAAATCCAGCACACAAGAGAGTAAGATTTAGAACGTCAACGGTATTTTTCTAAAACGCAATGCTCATCTGTAACTTATTAAAGAATAAGTCTGCTCTAACTAAAATGAAATACTCCTCCGGTCCTTAATATAAGACCTATTTAACTATTTTGATTAAATTAAGGAAATTAGTTAAGTTAGGTAATAATCATAAATATGACATGTTTTCCAAAATACCCTCAATTAAAACTTCTTTAAAAAATTGAAATTTCAAAAAAAATTTTAAATTATTTTATTAAAAATATAAAATGGTAGAATTGATGCATTTGTGAAATTAATAAGTACTCACTTTATAAAATATATAGGTGTACTATTAATAAGTTATAAGTATTATTGTGGTATTTAATTATTTAATAGGGGCAATTTAGGAAAGAATTGGTAAATATGAGAAATAGGTTATATATTTAGAACCAAAATCAACCTTCTAATTAGATTCTATATTAAGGACCGGAGGTATATGTGTGTGTGTGTGTGTGTTTGCTGTTTATTATTAAAAAATATGAGTCACTTTTATATTAACCTTTTGAGGTTATTGTTTTGGTCTCGTCCGATTTTCATACATATTATAACTATATACTATATTATATATTTTCCCATCACATCATTTCAATTTAACCTCAAGAGTTTACATTTATTTGTCTTTTTAATACAATATATTGGTTAAAATTATACTCTTCTAATTCCATTTATAGGACATTTTTAGCATAATTCATATGAAACAAGAAAAATCTTAAACTATGTTAACTCTCATTTAAAATATATCACTATGATTCTATTATTTGTCACTTTTAAGAGTTTCTCACATATCAAGAAGAGTATTAAATAGACGAAATCTTGCACTTTTACCCTTATTAAAGAGATATATGGATATTGGGAAAAAAATGTGATGTAATACTAGTATATTTCCTCTTACCCATTCCCTCTCTCCTCACTTTTGCTATGATTAATAGGGACAGGATTGGAAATGAAGCATCAGAAAGGGTACAAGTGACAGATTAAAAGGACCAAAATTCCTCCTCACAAGTGACAAACAATAAGAACCAGGGTGGTTATAAATTTTAAACTTTATATTATGAATAAAAAAAATATTTTAGAAAGTGATTTATATTTTAGATCGGAGGAAGTAGAAACTAATTGATGAAGATTAAGAAAATTGATTAATTCTGTTATTAAATCGCCATTTTACCATCTAAAAAAATGTGTTTCACTATCCTTGAAATATTAAATGCAAGGGAGAAAGATGGTGGGAAAAATTGTGAGATCAATAAGGACGACATAAAGTCAGAATATTAAATAGATGGAGACATAACATTAAAGTCTTATATTTAAAATCAAAACAAATTCATTAATAAATTTGGGCTGAGGCCCGTATTCTTATCCGAAAAAGAAAAATCAAAGCAAATTCCTTGGGTATATTTTATATCTAGAAGCAAAAAGAACTGAGTAAAGGAGAGAAGGGAGTATAATACACGTAAATATATCAAACTAACTTCTTGCAACGAATGAGTAACACGTATACCTGTTGTCATTTTTTGTGTTGAAACTTGACATTATATATTGCTTACTTATTATATATGGAATTGTTTATAATTATGTTCCTTCTTTAATATCACATGATGATTTTCTCTGTGATATAATTTGTGCGGCAAAGTTGTCGGTTTTTTATGTTAATATCTTTGTTTCGTTTTTTTTTTTTCATACGAAAGGTTTTCTGTATTAATATTGATATAAGAGGATATGAAATATGATAATGTCGTGCATTACTTGTTATAAGAACATCTTGGATCATTACGGTTTAATATTTTTCTCAGCCCTCAATTTATTTTCAAGTGAAGTTAAATTAAATTACCTGTCCTGTTTTCAATTCATATTAAAGTAATATAAGTCTCTTGCTTGTTACGTACTTGGTAGGTCAAAAGATGGAGTGAAAAATAGAGCTACGGTGGTAGGTTATGGGCTAAATTGTTTTTTAATAAATATTTAACTTTTTGCAATCATATTAATGATAAAGTTGTAAATTTATATATTGATGTTTATAATCAAATTTAATTGTTTCACCTATCATATTAAAATGACAATAATCATTTTTGTTGACATAACTTAAATCAAGGATAAAACTTAGATCATGTTGCTCATGTCCATTAGTCAAATTTTTCATTCACATTTTTTATTTTTCTATTTTTTTGCCAACGAATTTTTGTTGCTAAAATGTGTATGTATACTTATAAATTAATCTATGAATTGTTGTAAATTTTTTTATAAATTCTTATAATGTAAACCAATATTTGTAAATTTTTATAAGGACACTTGTTGTTTTACAACTATTAGTTGTTAAAATGCATATGTGCGCTTGTAAATTCATTTATGAAATATGGACACTCGTTATTTTGTTATTGTATTTGTTAAAATGTGTATACATACTTGTAAGTTAACTTATGAACTTGACGTATGTAATGAATAGGTGTTAATTGATCTATGTCTTGTTTTTAAATAAAATGGTTTTAATAATATGCAAAAATCAGAACAAATCAGCTGAATTGGGGAAGCAGAGAAGTAGCTTTGTGACTAATACTGGACTACAAAACCATCTAAAGAGAATGAGGAAAGAAAAGGAGGGGGGGCTTGAAGAAGACAAAAGAAAATGGAAGGCATATGAAAAACAAATGGAAGAAGAAGAAGAAAAGAAAAGGTGAAAGCTCAAGGAAGAAGATGACCGTGATGGCTTTATTCTTTCCCTTCTTGCGCGTTTTTGCTGACGGGTTGTTGAAATTGAAATTTCATTGAATTTTCTTTTGGGATTTCACCGTCAGGTGGAAGAAAGATTAAGGAGGATGTAGGGTCTACTTCTTCTCTATATAATGCCTCTCTGCTTACCTCTCTTCTCCACACTCACCTCTGCTTCTTTAAGATTTGGTTTGGGCGAAGTTACAATCTCATTCTCCTATTTCTTTAATTTAGTAAGCCTCTGCTTCTTTGACATCATTAACTTCTTATTGGTTGTTGTTGGTTCACTTTTCTCCCCCACCTCCTCATTCACGCACTCTTCTTCAAGTTTTCCTTCTTTTGGGCGTCATTGTTATATTTTCTTTTTATGGGGTTCTTGTTTGGTCTGGTCTTCCATAACTATGACCTATAGTTCCCGTTGACATCATTTAAATTTAATTTGGCAAGGGCTTAAATTTGATAGTCATTGAAAGAATTCAGTTGACTGCTTTCATGAAAGTAGAGGCGTACGTACACAGTGAAAAGAAATAAGATCAGCAGTTTTGAATCTACCTTTCTTCTTTGATCGTTTGCTCTGTTCTTGAATTCTCGATTCCCTACAGTGTTACTGTATTAGTGTTAGACTGGAAGAGAAAAGTGATATATTCATTTCTTTATGCAGATCACATGTTCGACACAATGACTGCCGATAAAGAAAAGCTCAAGATACCATCCGTCTCAACGGCGCACGTCTGATTGCGGTAAAATTTATCTACTTTTCATTTTCTGTTTCATTCTCATATCTCTCACTTGTTTTTTTTTTCACATCGATTACCGGAGAATTGATTGCATTTTAACTTTAACTTGATTCTCAAATCACAGATTTTTTTTTTTTTTTTGGTTTTTTACACCGGTTGTACTAGTAACATTTTATACACTGGTTTTGCAACCAGTGTAAAAAAATTGAACTTTTAATACTGCCCATTTCTACACATGTCATCTTTCTAATATTAAATGCCTATTCTAACTAGTATAAAAGACTTTTTTTTCTAGGGGTATGACTTTTATTAAGGGAAAAAAAAATACTTTCTTTACAAAGGCGTACATGCATATAGCTAGACTAAGCTGCATTAGTTATGCTCATAAATAATATCTCTTTCTCAGAGCTTTTATAGAAATATGGAGGAAGCCAATTTGACGTACATGCATATATGGTTTACAAATAGTGTGTTTAGTTGAAATATTTAACTTATACTGAGTATGGTATTTTGACCTATGCAGCATTTATATATTTACTCATTTTGTTTGTTTGAAGGTCTTTTCTAAATGTGATTCAGTGATTGATTTTCTGTAATATCTTAGACCATCCCAAATTGATATATTTTTATTAATATAATAATAAAATTAATTTTTTAACATTTCATATAAGCATGAAGGTTCAATTCAACTCTCTAAGAAATATTATTAATATCTGTGAAGTAAACGTTATAAAAAAAATTAAATAACCTAAAAAGATGAATTGAACCAAATTAAATCAAATTCATCAGAATGCGAAATGAAATGAAAATTAAATATATTATCAAAAACATCCGTCAACAATACAATAATAAAATTATAAAATAAAAACCATGTCCCTCACCATCAATCCAAACTTGTCCCATGTTTCAACTTCTCTTTCCATGTAGGAATAACAGCATATTCAGTTGCCTGAAACCTCTTCTTCCGGCCAAGAATGGGAATTACTGGATAGTTGAGCAAAGCTTGCCTTATATATATAACAACCCTTTCAATTAATTTGTCCATTGAAGTCAATCGTGCCAGAGACAATGAGTTCGTTGGACGGCGAAGTCCAGGTCATAAATCTGGAGCAGAAATTGCGTAGTGATGCCATGAAAGGAAAGTGGTCAGAAGTATCTGCAACTTGCAAGCAAGAGAGGGCGCTTTGGATGGCCAAGATAACAGGGACGGGAGATACAGTTTTACACATGGCTGTGTGTTACGGGCAAACGAACGTGGTGGCAAACATGGTTGAATTCTTAGTTGAACAAGAAAACAGTCCCGCCCAAGATGATGTGGCGGTTACAGTGGATGAAAATGGTGAGGAAAGCTGGAACGTGAAAGCTGTTCTTGGCGCCGAAAATGATAGAAAGAACACTCCATTGCACCTTGCAGCAATAAGAGGAGATGTTAAAATGTGCAGGAAGATGGGTGACGGAGACCCCTCTTTAATTGCTCCTCGCAACATTGATGGCGAGACACCCCTTTTCTTAGCGGCTCTCAATGGCAACAAAGAAGCTTTTCTTTGGCTTCATTATCTGTATGTGGGAACCCATGATGTTTCTTCGACCGACTTTGATCAATGTATAAGGAACAACAACGATGATACCATTCTTCATTGTGCAATTGCAGAAGGGCATTCTGGTAAATCTAAATTAGCATCCATTCTTTCATTTATTGTTAATATACTTATGATGAAGTACTGCTAAGTGCAGACGTGGCAATCGAAATCGTTCACCTTTATAGAGATCATTTGAAAAAGATGATGAAGCGCAACAAGGAAAGGTTGTCTCCACTTCATCTCCTAGCAGCAAATCGTTCAGCTTTCAAAAGTACTGCCCTTCTTCAACTACCAAGCCTTGCTCGTCCAATTTATCGTAAGTTCTATGTCTGTGAAGGGAATGCAATGTGAACATGTGTGTGTCTATGATTTCATTCTTGGCTTTCTTCTAATGCATTTCGAGCTTCCTAGCTATATCAATGTTTGAAAGAATTCCCTCCTATCCTTAGCTTGTTACAAATATTTAATAATAATTTTACATAAGTTAAAGAAGTTAGTTTAAAAACATTATGTTTTTTTGGTAGAATATCAAAATTACCTTTTATAAAAGTCATTAGTTAAAGGATTTTAGTCAATTAGTTGAGAAATTTTTAATTAGTAAGGGATACCAGTTTGAAAAAATTAATACTTTAGACAAGACACATTATATTATGAAACATACTTGAGATTTTTATAATAAAATCCGGAGTACCGTTTTATAACGATGAATATTGTTTACGTTTCTTCTCTGTATGGCCTTATTTGAAAACTAGAAACGTTATGTTTCTCAAGAGTACAAATATGTAACACGCCACACAAATGAACTAGTTAGATATGCAAACATTTTTGGAAATAACTCATAAATACTTAATTAAATTTTATGAAGCTTCTTGCATTAAGGAACAAGCAAAATTTTCAGAATGTGTTCATATTAAAAATGGCTTGTTTGTTTGGAACCCTGAAGGGTTGTCGGTAGTTGGCGAGAAGAATGAGGCCACGTCGCTTGAAGAATTGGAAGCCAGCTGGCAAAGCAAATGTAAGTAGGCACTTTGTTTGATTGTGGCAAGATGGTAAATATGTCATCTAAAAGTGTATAATTATAATTGACTTTAGGGAGAATGACAAAAAAATAAGCTCAAAATTACTAAATCTCAAATAAAGTTTGCTAACAATATTTTATTCGGTGTTGACAATACTAAATTTGCAAATAACAACCAATTTTTGTTGATATTCTTTATTTAGCATTTACAGATTTTGAACTTTTTTTGGGTCATTTTTCCTTGACTGTAACTTGTGGATCGTTTCACTATTTGAGTTACATTTCCAATATATGAAAATTATGTTCACGATTTATATTTTCTTTAATTCGAGAAAAATTTTAGAGGGAGAATTATATTAATGTTAACAAATAGTGTTTGGGAATCGAGTAGGATTCCGTTCATTGATACGAGTGTAAGATTTTAAGACACTAACAAATTTTGTGACTTATAATATTTAATTTGCAGAAAATTATAAAGAAAAAATCATTTGGTACAAATATGTATAAAGTCAAATACGCCACACAAATGAACTAGTTAGATATGCAAACATTTTTTGGAAATAACCCGTAAATACTTAATTAAACTTTATGAAGTTTCTTAATATTAAGGAACAAACAAAATTTTCAGAATGTGTTCATATTAAAGATGGGGGAGTATTTATACTTTATATAGATATATATATATATATATATATATAATATGCAGATGAGAAGAAGAAATCTGCCACTTGGGTTGAAAGATTGAAAAGCAAAATCAGTAAGTACGCTTTACATGTTACTCCGTAGCTATTTTCTTTTGTCCACAACAAATGTGCATTTATTTTAATTCGAATTAGCTTAAACACCTTTCCTTGAACAATTTGAAACTATGATACTAGGAAGAGATGAAATATGGATAAAAAATTAATCATTTACTCCCTAAAATTTTGATTCAATGATAACTCAGTCTTCAAAAATTAATCATTTGTTTGGTTTAATACATTTCTCCCCATAATTTAGAAAATATAGAAGGTGCATCTATGATTGTGGCAAGCTGGTAAATATAATATGCCAGCTAAAGTATGTATGAAATGACACTCTTGCGTACTTATTAGTTCATCACTTTGTGCTTTTTTCCTGCCTTCTTCTATCAAGTGAGGTTTTTCCCTACGCACACCATCAAAAGATACAATAATGGATAAGAAATGAACGCCAAAGATCCTATTTTTATTTAATATTTTAGTTTTAATTTGAACTTGTTAAAGTTGTACATGCATGAATGTTTGTTTGTGCAATTTACATTTTTCTTTTATCTTATGGATCATCTCATTATTTGAGTTACATTTCCAGTATACGAAGATTTTATATATGTTCACTCTTTATATTTTTTTTTTAATTCGACAAAACTTTAGGGGGAGAGTTATATTACCTTTTTCTTGGCTTGAGAAAACCATACTACTGTTAAGGTGTTTGGGAATTGAGTGGGATACGGTTCATTGATTCGTATATAATAAGTCAAGACACTAACAAATTTTGCGACTTAACATTTAATTTGCAGATGAACAAAGCATTTTGGGAAAGTTTGTGGTGCGGATGTGCAATATTCTAATGCTGCCGATACGCCTCCTCGCTTTCCTCGCGTTGATATCCGCTGCTTTCCTTCTCATGTTATTCATGATGTTAACCTTTTCTGAAGCAGGTAGGGCGTGTCATGCAAGACGGTACTATCTATTACGATTTTGAGGAAAAAAGTCTAGAATCAACATATGTTATTTTAATTATATACAGTTATAAATTTCTTTTAAATGATAAATTTTTTAAAACATTTTTTCCCTTACTAACATACGGGTCTTGGATGGTCCGGTCTGGTTTATATACCCAGAATGAAGAGGGCACATGCATGGTGGCATCAAATAATGACCAAACTCACTATAAGAAATTGTAAAAGTAGCAGCGGAACCTTTCTAGCGGTTAAAGAAAACCGCTAGAAATTTCAGATATTTCTAGCGGTTCCTACAAAAACCGCTGCAAAATACAGACGGTTTGACCATTAAACGCACATTTCTAGCGGTTACCCCCTAACCGCTAGAAAATTAGAGCTAGAAAACTCCCCGGGCTTTGGCGGGAACTTGGCGCCAAATTTGTAGCGTTTACTTTCTAGCGGTTCAGGCTAATAAACCGCTAGACACTGAAAAATTCTAGCGGTTGATGCATGAAGCGCTAGAAATTTTTTTCATTCCCCGAGGAGTTTAGAAATTTCTAGCGGTTCGCGGCCGAACCGCTAGAAATCTCTAGCGGTTCGGCCGTGAACCGCTAGAAATTCCCAACGGTCATATGACCGTTGGGAATTTCTAGCGGTTAGGCACAAAACCGCTAGAAATTTCTAGCGGTTTTGTGCCTAACCGCTAGAAAGTTTCGGTCTATATATCCCCCCCCCACACTCTCACTTCTTCAATCGTTCTGGAAGCGAAGCTCTGCTGAATTTTCTTCACAAACATATTTGAGTTCTGATTCAGTTGCAGATCCTTATTTTCAGGTAAAAATAGTAATTTATTGATAAATAATTTTTATTTTATGTTTTATTTTATTAATTTTATTATGTTATAGCTTATAAATTAATTTTTTTTATTTCATTTATAAATAATTACTATTTGTTGTTATTAGGATGCCTCGTCGACATGGGAAAGACCCAGTTGATCCTGAGAGAGCTGGACCCAGTGAGGTTCATCATGATGCTGATGAGCCATTTCCCAGCATTCATGACTACGATTTGAGCGAGGAGGATATCCTCAGTTTTATGGAGCAGGATGGTATTGAGCGGACTGAGGAGGCTCATTTTACTGGGGATGAGCAACCCCATGCTGATGCTGCTGACGAGGAGGAGGAGGAGGAGGAGCAGCAGGATCAGGGGAATGAGTATCCCCAGGCTGCACAGCGTCCTGCTCCGAGACGTCAGGCTGGTTATGAGGTGGAATTTGTCGGTAAGTATTTATTTTAACTTTTTAAAGTTTTGATCAGTATTTAATTTATATAGAAATTATATTAATTTATTGATATATAATTTATTTCTTAATTAAATTTTGTAGACACTGAGGGGAACAGGTCCTATCGGAGGCTGACAGCCAGAGAGCTGTCTATGATGACAGGCGGACGAGTGGTTGTGCCGCTCAATGAGTTGGGCCAACCGACGAAGAAAGGTGGCCAGTTGTACAACAAGTACGTGCGCCTCCTTGGTCAGCAGTGGACGCTGTTCCCCATCTACGTGCAGGACTGGAAGAAGATCACCTCAGACAAGAAGCAGCAAGGCTGGGAAATAATGAAGGTAATATAAAATTGTTATTTATAATTTTTTTTAATTTAAATAAATGATTATATATTTTGTTTTCAAATAATTTAATTGTTTGATTATAATTTTTTATTTATTTAATTTGTTTGTTATTTATAATATTTTTAAAAGTAGTTAAATGAATATATATTTTTAATTTAAATTATTTAAAAGTAGTTAAATGAAAATAATTTGTTATTGATTTCATTAATTTATTACTTATAATAATTTTAAATTTAGTTGAGTAAAAATTTTTTTATTTAAATTACTTAATTGTTTAATTATTATTAAACTTTGATTAATTTATATTTTATTTATAATATTGTTAAATTAGTTAAAAACTAATTATTTGTTTTTAATTATTGAAATTGCTTAATTATTTGTTTATAATTTGTTATTTAGTTAATTTATTATTTTAATCATAGAGTAAATTTATTCTGGGGGAGGAGTTGAGGGCTGACACGATCAAGAGGCTGGGGATGGCATGGAAGAACAGGAGGGCCGACCTGTGGAGGGAGAAGAAAGGTGACGGGACGAGGCCCCTCCAGGAGATACTGGCAGATGTACCTGGTGGAGTCCCGGACCAAGACTGGTCTACTTACGTCTATTTTAGGATGACGGCTGACCAGATGGTATGATAATATTGTATTAATTATAATTTCTTTATTTTTTATCCGACTTGACTCATTTAATTTAATTTTTTTACATTTTGCTTCAGGCTCTTTCTAGGAGAAATGCTAGGAGCGTCAGGCATCAGACGA